GGCACAGGGTAGCAGGAAGCTCTCCACACACTCACCGGACCTGGGCTAGGACTGGGTCTGGGGGTTCCAGGAAGTCGGCAGAAATTCCTACTCGGCGGGAGGGGTGGGGACATACGTCGGAGTGGCCCCACCGTGTCAGTTCTTTAACTGCAACAGAACCAGCAGGCTGAACAGGCAAGTCTGAGGCCACGTGGCCAGAGGCCGAGGTCGGAGAGAGGAGGCCCTGAGCAGGTACAGACTGTGTGGCCAGCTCCGCTCCAGACACCCTGCAGCACCAGCTCCAGTGCGTGCAGCTGAGGAGCACGTCTCGGTCACTTGGCAGGGAAGGCTTCCCCCTGAGCCCCACTGGGCACCAGACTCAGACACACATTCGGAAGCTCACAAGCACAAGCACCGCCACCAGCCAGGGCGCACACGTCACCTTGCAGCTCGGGGTCCCCAGCCTGCTGGAAGCGCAGCTCTGCAGCAGCATCTGGATCAGGCGCTTCTCGTCATCCTTCCCAGCAGAGGGCGCCGACGCAGCCGCCATGCTCTCCACTGACGTGGAAAAGAGGCCCTTGAGAGCCTCGTGGCTTTGCTAAGTGAAACAGGAATTTCTTTAGTTAAAAGAAAAAATAAGGGCCCGCCAGATAGCTCAGCAGACAAATGCACCCGCTTAGACAGAGCGCAGGGGCCAGGATCTCGTTCCCAGCGTGCCGTGCCGGCCCTGACCCCGGTCACACTGAGACCACAATTGAGACTGGGTGCAGTGGCGCACGCCTATAATCCCAGTGCTTGGGAGGCTGAAAACAGAAGTCCGATCTGTGTAGTGAGACCCTGCAGACCCTGTCCTAAATACATTAAAAGAAAAAAAGCAATTACGTTAAAAGTACCTTATCCCTACCATAGTTGTTACGGCTTGTGTACAGATGTCCCCCCAAAGCCTCTTGCAGTCATGGGGCACACCTCTAGAGTTTGTGATGAACTCCTGATCCACTGGGATTGTGGGGGTGAGAGCTGCACCCAGCCGGGGGCGGGGGAGCCTGAATGAAGCATGAGGGGACAGACTCGCTCTCTGCAGCCGCCACTCCTCCCTTTTGCTCTTGCTGTTTTGCTGTTTTCTGCTGCCATGAACTGCTGCCCTCTGCCATGTGCCGCCCTGCCTTGGAGCCCCGGAATGTGCACTAAAACCTCCATAAACTGTGAGCTAAATAAACCTTTCCTTCATTTTGGGTGTCAGGTATTTTGTCCCAGCAACAAAAGAAAAGTAACAGAGACAACAGTCAAGATAATTCCTAGGCATAATCTTATTCTGACTGCCTAGCAAGTTATAAGGAGATAGTCTGATGAAGTTCATTTTAAAATTAAAACAAAAGAAATAAAAAAGATTTTAGTAATTTCAGCCCTCAGAGAATTTTAGACAGAAGCTTTCCCTAAAGAACTGTCTTACATACAACACTTGGTTACCTGAGGAATACCACCATAGCCTCTGCTTTTCACATATTAAATGCAGAATGTTACCAGCTTTTCAGCTAATAGACTGTCCTTTTCCAATTCCAGCACTCTTCTTCCCCAGCAGAAATTATAGGAGTACAAAGAAAGACCGTCAATATTACGTCAAAAATGGCCTTGACACCTTTCAACCAAGAACAATGTTTATAGTTGATTTTAAAAGAAATTGTTTAATACTTCTGAAATGCTTGAAATATCTGAAATAAATATTTTCAGTTTTCTTCATAGCTGTTGTCTCCTTTCAATAGTGGGAGTAGAATCCAGAGTGGTGAACTGAGCTACATTCCCAGGCCTTTTATTTTAAGATGTGGTCCCAGAGCCAGGCATGGTGGCAGATGTGTAATCCCAGTACTCAGGAGGCTGAGGCAGGAGGATCACCAAGAGTTCAAGGCCAGTCTGGGCTACAAAGTAAGCTCAAGGCTGCATGAACAGCACAGCGTAACCCCATCTCAAACAAACAGACAGACAGATGGACATAAGACAGAGAGACATGGTCTTAGTAAGTTGCTCAACCTGGCCTCAAATTTATGATCTTTCTGCCTAGCCTGCCAAGTAGTTTGGACTACAAATGTGCGTCACCATGTCTGGCTTAAAATAAGTATTATTTCATCACAGAGATAATTCTTAGATGCATTTTTAAAAACCAAATAAACACATTTTCAAATCTAATTTCTTAGGGAAACCTTGAAGACAGATTTTCTTTTCTTTTCTTTCTTTTTTTTTTTTTTTTTTTTTGTGGAACCCAGGATAGAACTCAGGCCCTTACGCTTGCCAGGGAAGTACTTATTCCACTGAGCCATCTCCCCAGCCCCCTCAAAGACAGATCTTTTTTTTTTTTCTTCCGAAGACAGATCTTGATACCACACACCAAATACTGCAATACAACTCTACCCACCCAGCCCGCCTGTGTGTCAAACACACGCACGCACGCACACACACACGCATGTGCACTTCCTGGGAACAAAAGCACGTACTTGGGACTCGTAGGACTCCTCCGCCAGTTCTGCGTGGCCCTCGCTGATGAGGATGTCTCTGATGTTGACAGTGTCCAGCGCCCCGCAGTAGCAGAACACGTCCACGTGCAGGACACCGTGTACTACTGAGAAGACCTTCACCAGGAGGGCACATCTGCGCACCAGGGAGGCGAACCGCCTGCTGGCCCTGCGGCTCCAGTGCTCGCCACACACAAGAGACCTGGCCGAGGGCCGCATTTTGCAAATCCTAAACTCCAACGCCTATGGGGCAGAGAGGCACACGGAAACAGCTCTGTAGGCGAGTGAAGCACTCTGCCCACATCCCCTGAACACAACGTTCTCCATGCATCTGCTCTGTGTCCTCACAAAAATCCCAACAACAACGGGGAACGAGGCTTCCCAGCTAAAGAAGCTTCCTGTCTTGCCCCCATGAGCAGCAGGGCGGTGGAAGCCAATGGCAAGGGCACGCCCGCACTTCCAGCCCCCCTCACCTCTGGCTAACGTGACTGGAAGGCTTACAAGTGGTATCAGCAAATCAGTGCAAACAACTTGTCTTTTGCTAAGTTTGAACTCTTACATATATTTTTCCTTACTCTAAAATCAACAATGTCTAAAATACCTAGGGCAGTATCTATTTTTGAGAGCAGAGACTGAATCTGCCTAGTGCAACACAGTCCCTTCTCCGTCTGAGCTCAGCTGACCCGCGTTAGGTGAGGGTGGGTGGCAGCCCTCCAGCCAAATCCCTTCCAGGGCTCAACACCTACTTCCAGAGACTTCTCCACCTTACCTGGAATGGAAGCTCAAGAAACTGACAGGGCAGCTCCATCAAAAGATCGAGGTCTACGTGAGCCCTGTTACCGTAGTCTACAAAGAATACCTACAAGACAAAGACAGCAGGCGCTCTTATACAAGGTCAAAAACAATGTCCTGCTTCAGCAATGGAAACACAGTGATCTTCTTTAATTCCATAGCCACAGCCTAGTCCTACCCTAATGGCAATTATATCTCATTTTCATATGTATTTACAAACAATTATATGTAAACTGCTATAATTCTGTCCCCTTTCTGAATGATTTTCTATAGGAAAAACATACCTCAGCAGAATTTCCAGAAACATAAAGGATCTGAGCTCTGAAGTAGCTTTTCTTATCAAACTCCGAGAAAGGCGCCAGGCAGACCATGTCGGGGTGGGGGTGGGCTGGCAGGGGTACCAACTCCAGCCTGTTAATCTCAGCAGCCAGCTTCTGAAGCAGCTCTGCGTTCCTTTTGTCAGTCCTGTAGCCCCAGAAGTGTCCCACCTCTACCACCTGGACAGAAGAGGGGGGATAGGCTGGGGATAGGCAGAGATGAAGCCTAGGAGTGGCTCACATGGCACTTGGCAAGCCAGTGACACAGGGCCTTGGCTCTTCCAAGGCTGGAGAGGGCCAGGTGGGTGCCAGGGCATGGCCTGCGGGGCGGAGAGTGGAGATCCCACCCAGCAGCTTCTTCCCTGTGCTGCCACAGACCGCGAGGGCCCACCACCTCAGGGCTGCAGCCTGCTGCGAATCCAGATTTCTGCATGAAGTTTCCCAGCGGGTGCAGCTACAGACTTACACAAAACATACAAGTGTTTTAACTGAAATTTTAAAGAAATAAATGGGGGGGGCCCTGCCCATTAGCTCAGTGGTTTAAGTGAGTGCTTCAACAAAGCAGTCAGGCTCAGGATGCTGTGGTTCCAGCCCCATATCCTCAAGCCTTGCCAGACCTGCCCTGAAGGCATCCTGAGCCAGCCAAAAAAAAAAGAAAGAAATTTGGGGGGCCAGAGCAAGTGTCTATAGTTCGAGAAACCACCTGCCACACATCTCCCTACAATAAAGTGGCTGTTGAGGAATAAAGAAAGATAATAAAATCAATCCCAAATAATAATGGTGACAATGTGAGTCCTGTCGATATAAACTGAATCAAATAGGCACATATCATTATGTCAGCTAATATTTTTAACAAATATCTTATTAAATATGTTTGTTTTCGCACTTTCTCACATTTCTACTGGTGGCTTAAACCACCAGTGTCCAGGCCTGACCATCCCACTGGAAAGCTTGAACCGCCCAGTGAGACTGTCTGGTGCTACTCAGTGGGACCAGCAGAGGTCAAGCGGGTGGAAACCTAACATGCTCACATCAGAGCCTCCCGGCAGGCAGCAGAACATAATGGTTATGGCCCTGCACACATGTGTTAAATGTACTCAACACTTTAAAAACTAACACTGATTATAGAATAAATATTTGCTTCATCTTCTACTTTGTATACATTCCAGTTTAATAATAACAATTCAAGCCTTCTTACATGTGCTAGTACCCATCACAGGTGCCTGTATGTAGACTTACTTAACAAACACACACGAGGCTTCTAGAACGCAATCATGCCTTTCTTACCTCTGTAACGTCAACGGTTAGGAGGAGATCTGCAACTGGCTGGGAGCTGTCCAGGGTGTTGAATGAGACCTGCATAGGATCTACTGTCTGCTTCTGGAAGTCTACATTCACCCTATATAACACAAGCATTATTTTTTAAGAAGTCAATAAAAATCAAGAGTTACTGAAAAAAAAAATCCCTTGTGTGAAGTTATCACCTGACCTCGTCTGTATTTCTATAAGCAAAAGACATTTTAATAAAATATCAGCACCTGTGCTACAGGTGGCCCTGCAGTGTCCCCTGAAGGCCCACAGCCCTGCCAGGAGGGAAGGGAGCTTCAGGAGGTCTGAGTCAAGAAGGTCCCCAAGGCTGCCCACATCCATGGCTGGGGCTTGGGAGGGGCTGGGCCAGCCCTCTGCAGCAGGATGCGAAGAACCCGTCTCCCTTTTTTGCTCCCTGCCCACCAGGACAGAGCAACTTTCCTCTCCCACTCCACTGTGTGGTCTGAGACCTCCAAAAACAGACCTCTCTGGGTCTGCAGAGTTAGTGCAGAGGTCTAAGCACCTGCCTAGGCAAGCGCAAAGACCCGGTTCGATCCCCGGTACCACATGTTGTGCTGGCCCTGCCCCAGGCATGTCAAGCCGGCCACCGAGACCAGGCGTGGTAGTGGCGAACACCTGTAACCTAGTGCTGGGGAGCCTGAAATGGAAGGGTCACTGTGAGTCCGAGCTGCGTAGTGAGACCCTGTACCAAATACATAAAATTAAAAAAAACAAAAAACACCTCTCCTTCTGGCAACTTCAATTGTCAAGTATTCTGACCCAGCTACAAGAAAGTGACAAGACAGGTTGAGGCAGGAGGCCATGAGATCACTGGGAATGTGGCCTTGAAGGGGATAACTGAAACCCTGGTCCCTTCTTCTTTTGTTTTGTTTTTTGAGGCCAGGTCTCACTATCTAGTTTAAGCTGGTCTCAAGCTCACAGTGGTCCTCCTGCCTCAGCCTCCCAAGTGCTGGGATTACAGGCATGCACCACCACGCCTGGCTGTCGAGAACAATCAATTAAAAAGTGAATTTCTGTGGCACCCTGAGCTGCCCTGGAAGGGTCCTACACAGAAGACTGAGATCTTGCACTTGGTTCAATGCTACGTCACAAGACACACACGGCTGAGGGAGACACCCGCCTCTCAGTACGGCAGGACGTCCCTTCCAAATCCCAAGTTCCATACGAAAGACGCAGCGAACATCAAACGGTCCCTTCTGAATACCTTCACTCTAAATGAAGGAATGAAGGGAGGGACTGTAAGAGCTCTGTGGCCCACTCTTTCCTGACACGTGAGTGGCTCAGCGCCACCAGCACTGGGGTGCGAGTATCAGCTGAAGCTGGCTCTGACAAAACAGAATGGCCTTCTTGTGTCTGTCAAGCCCCATGGTGGTCTCCAAGACCGAACTGCCGAGCACCGGATAAAAGCAGACGGAGTCACGCCCCTCCTCCAGCAGGCCTCAGACCCCAGCCAGACTCACCCTCACCCAGATCAGAGTAAGAAACGGTGAACTGCACTTCCCACCCCGACACAGAAGAGCTGTGAGCACCACAGCGGGCGCCTCGAGAAGGGCCTGCCCAGAGCCAGTCAGGGTGGGAGTCCTGCCCTTCACCCTCAGGCGGAGACCCCCGCAGGCCAGCAGCCTGTGCTGCAAGCACGGGCTCCCCAGCCACAGCCTGCTGCACCACCCTTGGCCCTGCTGAGAACAAGGCAAACTACACTTGGCTTAAAAAGAGAATTCTCAAAGGGGAATAATACATATAGGAAGGGAAGGGAGCTAAGACTAGAGTTTAATCCCTCCTATTTAACCTGAAAACAATACAAATGCCTTCCGAGTCTTCTTCATAGCCTTGCACAATGGCAAAGTCTATTAAATAGATGAAAAGCAAGACTCAGAGAGGCTAAGTAAGGTGTCCAGCACACACAGGGTGACAAAACCAGGATTCAGTGGCAGTGCCGCCTGACGAGAAAGCCGGAGCCTGGCACTCGAGCCAAAGCAAGGCTAACAGGCCTGAGAAAACACTGACAGCAAAGGGAGCTGCGGTGGTGTGCTGGCAAATACCTCGTGTTCCGGAGCTTTGACACCACCCCTCCTTGCACCCTGCCCTCTATGTCCTCGGCAGCATGGACGCTGAGCTCCAGGGACACTTTCAGCTGGGCCATCTTCACCGCCATGTACACTGCAGGCAGGGTCTTACATCTCTCTGTCGGATTCCGGGAAAACTCCACAAAGGCCCTGCTCCACAAATATAAAAAAATAAAATTTATCAGCCATCTGATTATAAAAAACAATCACAGTTAACGTCTCTCAATATTAGCAGAAATTCTCACTGGATCTCACTCTGCAATATTCACTAGGTTTTTGATATATTAATGACTGTTGGTTTAAAGAAACACACAGAAAATCAAAGTTACAGTGACAATTCAGGTATTGTCCTTGTACAGTACAATGCAGAATAAATACTAAATCTACATGGAAGTGTCAGCCAAGAATTTTTTTTTTTTTTTGTCTTTTTGAGATAGGGTCTCACTATGCAGTTCAATTTGTGGCCCAGGATAGTCTTGAGCCTATATTGATCCTCCTGCCTCAGCCTCCTGAGTGCTGGGATTACAGGTGTGTGTCTCCATGCCCAACTCAGCCACAAAATCTTAATTTTCATAATTACTAAGGGTTTGCTTTAACTGTTACAATATAAAGCACACACAGACAACCACACAAATGCACAGTTCAGTGACCCTGTGAGCCCCCAAACATCCCCTGAGTTGATCACCAATTAAAATTGACAGAGGCCTCACACCTAACACATTTCAGGTTCCTCCTCGGTGCCTTCCTCTAAGGGGAAGAGAACCCAGCACAGAGCTGGGGAACGTGCCAGTCATTCCTGGGATGAAGACAAAGGCCGCAAGGCAGCCCACGCTGCACAGATAAAGGGCGCTGGCCACAGGGGGACGAAGCAGACGTACCAAACATGAGGGCTCTGTACCTACAGAAAGAGCCATGCAGACAGACCCTGGAGCCCCCTCAGGTGACAGTCCTGTTGTGACACACTGTCATACGCATGTGTCATACTGGGTGATACAGAAGGGCTCTGAGTTAAAAAGCATGGTGTGGGATTGGGGATCGGGCGAACTGGACCCTTCGCCCCAGCATCTCCTCCTCTCACATTCACACGTCTTCCTGGCAGGCTCTCAGCTTCCCCTCACTACCAGGTAAAGTGAGCATTTCCCTCCTAGCCCTGCCGATCCAAGCACTTAGGTTTACCCGGTTTCACCAAGGCAGCCCATTGCTGTGTGCTGACTGCATCAAGCATTGCTCGGGCAGGGGCCAGTTCAGCCAGCCAATTCTTGTATGCATGAGATACACTCCTACACCTGCTTATTTGTTTTACACCAACCATCTTTCCCATACTTTTTTTTTTGGATGTATTTGGTACAGGGTCTCACTACACAGCTCAGACTCATAGTGATCCTCCTGCTTCTAGCCTCCCCAGCCCTGGGATTAGAGGCAGCTGGTTCAATGCACACCTGGGGGTGGGGCCTGCACAGCATGTGGTGCTAGGGATTGAACCCCTTTCCTACACTTGCCTAAGCAGGCACTTAATCCACTGAGCTATCTCACTGGCCCTTCACGTACTTTTTTATTTAGAATGCTGTATTCTCCTTTAATACATGTTTCTAGTGAAATCTAATGATAAATCCTGCTTATTTTCTTTTACTAATTCACGTTCATTTTATTTGTGAACAATATCCTAGAATTTAGTGTCTTACTATAAGTACTTTAAGATATAATTTTTATACTTCTCCAGAACTCCATGATACTCTTTTACAGTTCAAAACAGACACATTTAGGACACTGAGACTGAACAGGAAGGAGGGAAGTGCCAAAAGATCAGCAAAGAAAAAACTGAAAAGGGAGAGGCATTAGCCTCTCAGAGAGGAAAAGTCTGTGTTATGAAATGGAAAACAAAAAATATACTGCCTTACTGTCAACTATTCATAGTACAGAAATGACAGAACTTGAAAGAAGAAACAAAACTAGAAAATTCCAGTGGAGGTGATTATAATTCCAGTGATTATAATTTTGTGAGTACTTTTGCCAGAGTTGACCAGTATCTAACAAGCTATCCTGTAATCAAAAAAAGTGAGTAAAAGTATTATAGAACATTTATGTGGGCCGGTGAGATAGCTCGGTGGTCTAAAACACCTGCTTAGATAAGCTTAGGCAAAGCATAGGGATCGCAGTTTGATTCCCGGCACCACATGCTGTGCCAGCCCACCTCCAGGGCAGGCTGAGCTGACCACAAAGAAAAAAAAATTATGCACCTTCTGGATTAAACAATATGGAATTCACTTGTTACTTATTCAAAACTAGGGGGTTCAAAAGTCATTCACAATTTAGATTAAGTCTAATAGACCAAGTAATTGAAAAATATGGGATAATAAAACACCAACCAGGACATATAGACAGTGACATCTTCACCATTATGTTTAGTGGGTAGACAAGATGTATGGAAATGCTACCACCCACAGAAAAAAGGCCAGGCCAGTAGGACAGTATAAAGTGTTCTGTTCAAAGAAAGCACAGTGCAAGAACTCAGAGAGACTAGACACTATTGTCCAGGTGGTAACGTACTGTGTACTGAATGTCTTAAGATATACCATTACAAAAAAAAGATATACCATTACAGAAAAATTGTTGAATTTGATAAATTTGTCATCTTAATATTTCCTATTATAAAAAGTTACAAAAATGCCATTTGTGGTCGTCCCGTATTTAGATAACTGGACTGCCTTGTGGCTAAGTACTTCTGTTTCTACCAGCCTTCTCTGCAGAGCTCCTGGGTCTCCTTAGAAAGAACGTCTTCGAGCTCTGGACCACACTGCAGGCCTCTCATGCTCCATGAGCGCTGCCCTCCTGGCTTTCCTGGCCAGCCCGCACAGCTCTCCTGGGGACCTGAGCCTCCTTGGCAGTTCTCTCCTTGCCCTTCACAGGCAGGCACAGCCAGACCCACACGCTCCCTCCCTTCTCCACCTGCTGCCTCTCCCTGTCAGTTAGCACCAGGCTGGCCCCATGCTCCCCTGTCCCACACACCTTCAAGGACTCCAGACTGGCTTTCTCTCCTGAGTCACTCTACTCAGGACCCATACAAAGCCCCATAGAACACATGGGGTGACCTATTCGTGTTCCTACTCACCAATCTATCATAAGAGGGGGTTGAGAAGACTGAGCGACCCCTCCAAATCAGACTCTACTGTGACAAAAAGCCTGCTCCCACCAAGCCCCTTGCCACAGGCCTGCTCCGTCCGAACGCTCCATGGTCAGGACTCAGCCCTTAACCCTCCTCCTGCTGTGGCCACCTCCACCTGCCCAAGGACCCTGAGAGGCAAATGCTTGTGGAGCTGACATCACTCCCACCGCGAAGTCGAGTGCTGCGTCTGGGAGACAGCAGTGTCCCCAGCACCCTGTGTGCCGGGTGCTCTCCACCGAGCAGGCCTGCTGTCAAACGCACACAGTCCTGGGTCTGGAGGTGCCGTCTCACGTCATTGTTCTCTTCGACACCTGATTCACAGAAATGGGTAACGGCATCAGCAGAGCAAACACTGCTCCTGCCTGCAGATGCCAGCCTCCTCTACCATGGCTAAAAGCCAAAGATGGGGGTGCAGCCCAATTTGATTAAATTCCTGCAAAAATACCAAACAGGAAAAAACGTGAAGCAAACACAGATTCCAAGCCAGATGAAGATTAGTGATCTGAGCATCTGCCACCTTCTGACCGCAAGGCTCAAGCTGCTCCCAGCTGAGGCGCGAGGTGCCAGGCTCAGGCCGGCGATTTTACAGGCACGGTGAAGAAATCTGACTGCTCGTGGTTCATACCATATGTCAGAGAACTCCAAGCAAGCTTAACTCATCAAAGCTGAAAAGCAGGGCGTGGCCCACCTGAAACCCCAGCATGCGTCCAAGACGAGCCTGGCTATATACGGACTTCAAAGCCAGCCAGAGCAAGACCCCGCATCAGAAATAAATAAATAAATAACTACCCCAAGATTGTTGAGTGTAGGGCTTTTTATTCACCTTAGGAGGAATTCACAGGCTGAAAATCAATACACTAACCACAGAAGCGGAACTTAAAATGTGGGAGTGAATTAATTCAAATTGAAAATGTAGGAGACTGGGGAGATGGCTCAGTAGAATAAGTGCTTGCCTGGCAAGCACAAGGGCCTGAGTTCAATCCCCAGTTCTACAAAAAAATAAATAAATAAAAAATGTATTCATATGTTCAACTTAAGTAAAAGGAACATTAAAGAAAAAGTATTCTCCTTAAATAGACATATAATGCTTTCTCAAGTTAAAAATATTTAAACATGCAAAAAACATTTCCAACTTTCAAAATTGAAAATCAATTTAAAAACTGTCATTCTCAGGCTAGGGAGATAGCTCAGCAACCTATGCACCTGCCTGGCAAGCACAAAGACCCAAGTTCAATCCCCATTACCCCACAAGCCATGCTACCCCTGGAACTAGGGTGGTGGTACACACCTATAATCCCAGTGCTGGGGAGGCTGAGACAGGAGGATCACTATAAGTCCGAGCCGCATAGCAAGACCCTGTACCAAATAAATAAAAGATTTTATTTTATTTTATTTTATGTATTTAGTACAGGGTCTACAAGGTCTCACTACACAGATCAGATATGTAGTGATCCTCCTGTTTTCAGCCTCCCAAGTGCAGGGATTACAGGCATGTGCCATGTGCCCAGTCTCAATCACTGTCTCAGCGCACTCTGGGGGCAGGATCGGCACAGCACACCAAGGATCAAATCCCGGTCCCTGTGCCTGGGTAAGCAGGTGCTTTAATCCACTAAGCTATCCAGCCAGCCTTAGATTTTTTTTTTTAAACTGTCATTCTTTTTGAGAACAAACATTCTTCGTTGAAAATAACTATAACTTCCAGGGACTCTCCACCACACCATTCATTCCCAACTTGCTAATAAAATAGGGCCACTTACATGGAGTTTCTACAGTGTTTGACTTCCAAAATGACTTGGGACAACATGTTCTAGAGATCAGCTACCTCCAACTCTGTGACTGACTGAGGACATGGCCAGGTACTAGAGCAAGGCCCACAAAGATGGTTTCCACAACATCTGGGCCTCAGAGCTGGCCCCAAAATGGTTAAAACGCTGCACTGAGCTCCTTCAGAATGACAGCTGGTTACAAAGATGTGCTACTTACTTTGCACCATCGAATATGATGGACTTGACTTGCCCACACTGTCTAAAGAGAGACTGCAGCTGCTTATAGTACAGGAATCCATAGGGAGGAATGTGCTTCAACTGTAAGACAGAGCACAGGATGGTGGTTAGAGCTGTCACTCGTGGACTAGGGGGTGGTCCCAGTACTGGATCCTGGAGTTGCTGCCCACCATCCTAATGAGCAAAACCGTGGTTTACTATCTTCCACCACAACAGATAAACTTGGTCAGTCAGGACGTTAAATGGCCTTTAGGTCATAACCAGGTTTTAGTAATCATAGCACATTCAATAAAGATCAATTCTCCCTGCTAGACTAGCATCACTGGCAGCCTCAGAAGGATGATGAGGCAGGAGGACTGGGAGCTGGAGTCCAGCCTAGACAACTTAGCAACTGAGCAAATTTTCATCTCAAAATTTTAAAAGGGCTGTCAATGCAGCTCAGTATGAAGACCTTGGGTTCAACCCCCAAGCCTCTAGTATTGTGCAAAAATAAAGCAGTGAAAAGTCTATTAACAGAATAATTGAGATTTCTGCCTATTTCTGTATTGTTTTACTTTAAAATAACTGAGCTGACTAAATATATCTTGGTAAAACATCACATGTCTAAAAAAGATTTAATGGGGAGCCAATTAATGAAACCCACACCACTACTGCGGGATGTGTCCGCTTGTCAGGGCTTCATGAACCCTGCCTGAGGTCTCGCGGCCAATCATATTCTGGGCACTGGCTCCACATGGGGCCCTGCCTGGCAGCCAGGCCCTGCTCATCCTGGGGCTGCTGGAGCCGCACTGGACACCGGGCCAGTGAGGGCACAGCTTAGACACAGGATCAAATTTGTTCCCACCTCATCCCTCCCCAAATCTGCGTGGCTCCTTAGGGAATCAGGGAATTCCCTTCACGTTAGGATGATGATAAACCCTCAACTCTAAAAGCTAGCGTGAGGCTCAGAGTAGACAGCATTTTGCAGATAGTTACTAACTTTTGGCCCCCAGAATGCATGGAAACCAGCTAACTGGTGGTAGGAGACAGTAAGACAAGGTTCCTAAGGACCCCCATAATGCACAGCTGAAGAAAGACCACCACTGAGGGGAGAGGAGAGACAAAAAGTCACAAAGGCCTCAAGCCCCAATAAACAAGAGTGCTGGCCCAAGCTCATACACCCCCCACTCTCCCCAACCCATGCTACAGAAGCCAGCGGCTGCCCCCTTGGGGCGAAAGCCTTGCACTGGCACCAGTGTGTCCCACAGTGCTCCCTGTCCCGGGGTCCTCACAGGCCGCCCTTGTGGGTGCAGCACAAGCGTAACAAGGCCCAGAACAGGAGCACAGCGGTGAGCGCTGAGTGCACACTGGGAACCAGCTACCTGGCGCTTTTCGGCTCCAGGATCAGACTCAGGCTGATGCCAGCAGAGTAGGCGGATCAGAGTCCAGCTCCAGGACACCGCACTCCAGGGGAGGTGAACGTGGTGCAGGTTATGAGCAAATGGCCTGAGGCACGACCACTGCCAGCACCTGCGCTGCCTGTTAAGAGTCCTCCAGAGCACACACCAGACCTCAGACCTCAAGGAGCCCCCAACTCTGAATTTTAAAGCAAATAAAATAAAGGCTAAGTGGCTCTACAGCCAGCTCAGGGGACTGCTGGTTTAAACCACAGCACAAAGATGCCAAGCAATGTCATTTTGTTTTGTGTTTAAAATTAAGTTGTTAATAAAATGTTCTCAAATGTACAGAAAAGTGTCTTAAATCCTTCCAAACAGCCTGTGATCTGGCCAGTCTTCTCATGAATACACCAGTTCTCCAGGCTTTCTTCTAAGACTGGGACTGTCAGAAGGGAGGAAACGCTCAGGGCTGAGGAGCACCATCTGAACCAAACACACATGACCCCAACTGCAGGATAAACCCAGTGGCGCTTACAGAAGGGATCACAGCGCTCTATGTGACCCCTTAGGAAGGTGGGCCTGGCCCCACTCTGGTGGCTTCCCGTCCTCTGCACCTACCACGATGGTTGTCTTAGGGTCTTTGCCAGCCAGCTCCTTCACCACCATCTCCTCGTCAGGCTGTCCAAAGGTAAAGTAATTTGGGTAAAAAGCACCTGCCAATACGACCTAGAAGAGAAACTCATGTTCATGAGCAGACAGCGTCATGTCCTCTGATGTTCTCATCAGTGTGTAAATCTCATCCCCTCAAGAAAAGATGGTCGGGCTGGTGAGATGGCTCAGTGGTCTAAAGCACCTACTTAGAACAAGCTTAACGAAGCACACGGACCACGGTTCAATCCCCCAGCACCACATGCCAGCCAGCCCTGCCCCTTGGTGGGCTGAGCTGGCCCCACACACACACACACACACACACACACACACACACACACATAAAATAAATTTTAAAAAGAAAAGATGGTCACTGTTGGCATGGAAATAGGTCCTCCCACCTGTCAGCTGTCATGCCCCATGACACCTCCTACAGGCACCCTCCCTTCACCCCAAAGGAGAAGACTTAGGGAACCAGTGGTTTGAGCAAGGGCACACCGTCACATGTACCCTCCCTCCGATGGGTCAGACATCCTCCCAGGTGTGCAGACAGAACTTCCGTTCAGGCAGCTGGCACCTAAACTCCTAAAAGGCACTTTTATTCCTTCTACATTACAGATGAAGGCTGTCCCAGCCTGACAGCCATTTTACACCCAGAAAGCATCCGTATTCCCAGCATGCCCAGCTCACAGGTTTCCCCCTCAAACTCAATTCTGTAGGCCTCAGCCAACTCAGAAACCCTACAGCGGGACATTGTGCACCTGCCAGGACATACTCCCCTATGGAACTCCTATGGTTCTGTCCACAGCGCTTCCTTTCAACCCACGCCGCCACGGTAATGGGAGAGAACAGCCAATGTGCAGGGACTGCCTCCAGGGTACCTCCACTTTCTGAAAGCTCCTGGGAGTGAGACAGCTGGTGCTCTCCAGAAATACATGCAGGAAGGAGAAGCAGGCCTGCATCATAGGCTACACACCAGGGGGTGTCAACAAGGAAAGATGGGAATGGCTCCCACTTTCCAAAGAGTGTGAACACAGTGGCTTTAAAACCTGCCCTGAAGCCAGGCTGGTGGCTGCAGGACCCCTCTGCAACCACAGGCCTGAGCAGCCCTGAGGCATACCTGCAGGATGAAGCGCTGCTTATAGGGGTACTCAGGGTCTAAGATGGGCCGCCGTGGGTCCACACACATGTTGAACTGTGAGACTCTACTCTTCAACTCTTCATATAATTCAGCCACCTAAGAAAAACACATTGAAATCTGCTGGGAAGACGCGAGAAAAGATGGGCACACTGTGGAAGGACTTAGCACATGGGTCCCTGACAGACAGTACACGTGGACACCTCTAAGCACATCAACACAGTCAAGAAATAATGAGAGTACATAAACAGGACATTTTTACTGAGAAAGTTGTTACCACTGTACACAAATTTAAAATTAAGATAAGCAGATGCTTACAACTACACGTCCAATAGACCTGAAGATATATATAAAATGAATTATTGAATAAAAATATGTATTTCATCAAGATTGTTTTGAAAAGAAAAACCAGAAACTATCAATGAATAAAAAATATTTTTTAAATTTGCTGCTCAATGGGAAAGGACAGGATGGGTGTGAGAGATGTACTATGTTTATGTGCAAGTCCCCAAAATGACTGTAATTATTATGGATCATAAACATGCACCACCAGGACCCAAATGCTTTTATGGATGAGTCTATCAATTTAAAATAAACACACTCCCAGCTACCACACTGCTCCCTAACTGTTCCTGGGCACAGAGAGACACCCTCCCTGTTGGGGCAGTACCAACACGTACCAGTCTGATCCTCACAGGTACACATGTATGCACACACAACACTCTCCAACACCATAAGCCACCAGCCAGTTCCATTTAGGGTACACCTGGCTGACAAAACCCAAAAGTGTTTTGTGTTGTTTTGTTTTTTTCTGGAACTGGGGATTGAGTCAGGCTTTTGTGCTCGCCAGGCAAGCATTTATTCTACTGAGCCATCTCCCAGCTCCAACCCAGCAGTGTTTTCAGAGAAAATACTCCAATCAAGGAGTTTTACTCCAAGAATACAAGGTTATATCAATAGTAGGAAACCCCTGATAGACTTAGTTGTATCAATCAGTTAACAGTTTTGAAAAGACCACACACTCATTTGGATACAGAAGAGGTACCTGACGTGGTACCTCATTCTTCGTTAAACAACATGAGGGAGTGTCACCTGAGAGGTACTTTAGGGGACATAGCAGTTGTCATGCTTAAAGGTGAAGACACTTGGCACTCATGCTGGAAGAAGAACACTCAGTACAACCCTGTGCATTGCTGGTACTCGGCTAGATAAATCAGTGTTCTTGGGCTCACTTAATCAAAGAAATTTCACCTTACCTCTCTAATTCTCTTGATTTGAATGTAATGCAACCGTCCCCAGTCAAGTTCATCCTTTAAATACATCAAAGCATAACATTCAGCACCAAAGTGATACATAGAACTTCATCTGCTGGCTAACCTGAGGCCAGTGTAAACCAATGCCACCCAACAATGCCCTCGAGTGACCATGGCACATGCCGGTCTAAGCCACCAGCTGCTTCTAATTTACACTGACACTAGAAAACTCAGGCCCCAACTTCACACACTGTACAGGGACAGGTCTTCTTATGTGTTTCCCTGTCCTAAGAGTGAAGCAGACACAGCTTGACTAGGCTGGTAAAAACACGAGACTGATGTTGGTGCACCAGCAAGGAAGATACACAGGCTGAATGTTCAAAGGGTCACAGCTTCTTGTACGCCTGGTATCTGGGGTTGAATCCAGGTCCTCACACTTAGTACGAGGCAAACGCTCTGGAGATGCTGTAGCACTGAGCTCCAGTATGGATTTTTTTTTTTTTTTTTTTTTTTTTTTTTTTTTTTTTTTTTGTTCTTGTTTTTAACCAGGAATCAAACCCAAGGCAAGTGCTATTCTGCTGAGTTAACCTCCATGGCCCATCTCAGCTTTTGTTAAGGCAGTGTCTTGCTAAATTACCCAACCCAGCCTTTGGCTTGCCTCCTGGCTCACTTTCCTGAGCAGCTGGAATTATGGGTACATGCTGCAAGGCCAGGCTGAAGGCACTGTCACAGGCAGCAGGCATGTTCCTTGGTAGAGACCCACTAAACACCGCAGACCTAGCCAGCCAGGGTTAGCCTTAGTCTTTGGATCCTATTATGCTTAGGAGAATATGACCAAAAAAAGAATGGAGACTAAATTGCTAAATTCTATGCAAATTAAAAGCAGCAAAGGCTGCAGGGTGCTTAATTCGAATGGCACTGGCTGCCCACACCCACAGGCAGGCCATGGACCAGAGGGAGCTACGGGCAGAGCTATGGGCGAGTCAGCACAGTGCTGCTCAGTAGGCTGGCAGTGGGCAGAGCCAAAGACCCTGCAAACAGATCAAGGCTTGCACCTGGGACAGGTCCGGCCTTAGCACCACTGAGCAAGCGCAGTGCTAAAACTGGGAGCGAATGCCAGGCAAACTGATCACCTGCAGCTGTCTGCAAGGAGACAGCAAGGGAGCTTGACCAACCTTTGGACGCCGCAGCTCTCCCCGCTGTCGACAGGCCTGCCACATCTGCAAGGAAATGATTGGTTTCAAAACAATGTACTGATTGCAACTTAAAGTTCCAGTTTCAATACACTGAGCACAAAACATTTATCAATTTAATGTTTTCAATCAATTTCATGAAATTGGCTCCCAACCCCACCCTGTTCTTCTTCCCCCAGTTACTAAATACTGGAGGTCAGTGACCCGAAGCATCTCTCCACCTCTGCATCTAAGGGATGGAGAGGCACTGGCAATCTGGGGCAGCCACCTCGCCACTGAAGCTGGTATAGGAGTGTGCCACATGCCCAGGCACTCACTTTAAATGCCTCCACAAGTGCAAGGCAGTCACTGTTACTGCTGCCAGAGAAGTTCAGTTTGTTCCTGCACACAGAGAACAAAAGAGTCACTTGACAGCATTAAGACAAGGTAACCCCTATGGCCGAATGTCACATACCTGTATCCATCAAGATGCTGCCGAAAAGGCATCACGAAAAAATTCTTCAATGAAAGAGCTGCAGCTGATAGAAAACAGAGAGGGAGGACGTCAGCGGTGGCTCCACCACCTCCGGGGGCCTCACCTGAACTCACACTTACCGATGATGAGACACTCATCCAGGCATCCAAACACGTGTCCCAGCACTACGAGCTTGCCCAGATGCTGACTGACAGGGAGCTGGGCTAGCACTCTTCCCAAGAAGGTCAACTCGCCGTCATGGGGGTTTTCATCTTCTCGTTGCCCACCAACCGCAAGTGCTCCCACCTGTGTAAAATCAACCAGCGTTAGCACTGATCCATCCGCACCCTGCTCGGCCTTGAAGCATAGAGAACAAAGCAGGGAGACCAAAGTTTGGCAAACAGTATTCTAAAAGATACCAAAGTCAACTTATGCAAGGTTGGTGCCACCACACACATACAAAACAACTTTTTTTGAGACAAGGCCTCATGGTGTAATGTAGGCTGACCTTGAACTCACTTTGGTAACCCAGGCTGGCCTCTACCTCTTGGCAATTTCTGTCTCAGCCTTCTGAGTGCTGGGATTACAGGTGTGCACCACCACACCCCGCCCACAAAATATATTAAATTGCTCTTCTCTGTTTTACTGTTTTTGTTTTTAACGTATTTGGTACAGCGTCTCACTACACAGCTCGGACTCATCGTGATCCTCCTATTTTCAGCCTCCCCAGTGCTGGGGTCACAGGAGTGTGCCACCATGCCCAGACTCGGTTGCCAGCTCAGCAAGCCCAGTGTGACATATGGTACCAGCTGTCAAACCCTGGTCCCTGCACTTGCCTAAGCAGGTGCTTAGTCCCCTGAGCTATCTCACCAGCCTTTGTTTTACTGTTTCACAAAAAGTACATTGGGAGGTAATGGGAGGTTCACAAATGTCCTCTTAGCTCACAATTTATTTTTTCCCATAATTTTATTGATAAACAAATAGCAATAAGACAGTTTCAAATCAAATTGGTAGGACAGTTTCAATAATTAACACATTGCATACATTCTTCCTAGTGATTAATTGCTGTACAAGATGCAGACTTTTACAAACACCATTAGAACAAATCACTCTATTCATTAAGAGAATGTAACTAAATATCCATCCTAACCACTTTTGAATACACAGATACAAAATGGACATTCATCTGTATACCCTTTTTTTGTTAAGTTCCATTATTTGAATATTATAGGTGTGTAAACTCAGCAAAATATTCAAAAGAGTCCAGTAGCCCATAATAGTATTGGGTGTTCCGCCTGACTGGCAATGTCAGAAACTGTTGACGTGAGTCCCCAACAGCTCAACATAACAGCATGGCTTTACTTCTTATATTTCGTTTTTATACTTTTCTGCTGGATGGTTAAGACCAAGGTAAAGCAGGACCTATGCAACAAGAGTTGTAGCTTTTGGGTCTGATAAGGTCAGTGAAATGCCCTCAGGATTTATCCTGAGATCCTGTACCTCAGATTGTAGAACCTTTGTCAGTGTCAGCCATGTGGATGAGCCACGGCCATTGCTTGGCCAATGTGCTCTCTGTGAAAACTGAGAGAGTGTTTTCTCCCCTTGTGACTCTCCGTAGGCACACTCTACATCATCAATCATTAGCTCACAATTTAACAAATACCCCATGCAGAATAATAAATAATGGCTCAACAACTATATTATATGGTCATTCACCACAGAAGCTTAAGCTAGGCAATAAAAAACGTTCCTTAACTCAACAAAGTATAGTTCACCGAAACTCAAGCAGGTTGCTTGAGCTGCAGCGTTAGAGGCACAAAACCCACAGCCCCAGTAGTGTGCAGACTCAGACACCGCTGTCCTGAGGCCAGGACTGTGCACTGGCAGAGCACACAGCTGTCAGGAGGGCCGTGGCGTCCACAGCAGGGAGGGCAGGCTCTCCAGCAATGGGCAGAGGGCCAGGACGGGGGTGGAGCCAGAGGGACAGGAAGACCAGGGACGGGAAGACCAGAACATGGCCAGGCAGGAGGTGCACACCAGGAGAAGAGGGAGCGGGTCTTGGCGGGCCCTGGCCCGAGACAGAGCTGGCCAAACAGTAGGCATGGACCGCAGTCTTCCCTCAGTCAGCAGAGGCTTTTTATTTTATTTTGAAGAATAAAAACAAACAAACAAACAAACACAAAAAAATAGCAGATACGAAGACAGAATCAGGGTAACATACAACAATACATATGTTACAAATTTTTCAAAACAAGAATAGCAACAACATTTTTTTTTTTTTTTTTTTAGACAGAATCAGGGTAACATACAACAATACATATGTTACAAATTTTTCAAAACAAGAATAGCAACAACATTTTTTTTTTTTTTTTTTTTCCGGAACCGGGGATTGAACTCAGGCCATTGAGCTTGCCAGGGAAGCACTTATTCCACTGAGCCACCTCCCGGGTCAGCAACAACATTTAAATGACAATGGACAGACTCAGTCCTAGCCCAGGTCCGGTGAGTGTGTGGGAGAGCTTCCTCTTCCCCCTACTTCACTTTGCCCCCTCCAGGCACAGCTCAGGCCTGGCATACACGCCTGGGGTGTAACTCTGCAGCTGCAATCCCTGCAGAGTGTGTAGAGGATAGATCCACCCAGCTAGTCCAGGAGCAGAACATCTTGCCACAGGGGCACAACAGGTTCAC